TTTGCAAAAATGGAGTGCCATCCTCCAGAATGCAGTATACACATAGAGTAAGAGACCTTCGTGTGGCACTGTGTTGCAAATAAGAAATATCACTGAGAACCAACGGGCAGAAACAGGATTGGCCTCACTTAGCATCATTTCCAATGATTGCACATGCATTGATAGGTGGGTTGGTCAGCCATGGTTAGCTATTCTGAAGAACGTCCCACAGAACATGCAGCCTATGTTACATTTTCCATAGGAGCTTTCTAACCCTCCTACTCCAGATCTGAAGGATGCCACTCCAATGGGGAGCTGATCATCTAGATGAAGGTTATAAACATGGCAAATGTACTGTGTTCCTTGTGTTGTGAGTTAGCTTGAGGAACAAGTAATTATGAGACCATGTGGCCAAGGCCAGTGTGTGTAGACTGCTGGACATGAAATTCAGATTCCAGTCTAAAGATATTTTATGGTGCACAAATCAGGAGGTCCTGCTGATGATAGACCTGGTGAACATATCTAGAATTTTAATTTATTTATTAAAAATGTACAAACAGTATAATTTACTTTGTGTGTATACTTCTATTTTTTACACATGCATTGATATTTAAAAAGTCTATGGCCATAAATAGGATGCAAAACAATTCCAACACCTCAAAGAATTCCTCTGTGTACCCTCTTTGTACAGACCCCTCCCCAACCACAAACACTTAGCAACCACTGATCTGTTCCCTGTTCTTATATTTTAGCCTTTTCCAGAATGTCATAAATGTAACTATACAGTATGTAACTTTTTGGGACTGGGTTATTTCCTTTGGCATAATTCACTTGAGGTTCACTTGTTGTTGCATGTATCAGTAGTTTATTATTTTTATTGAGTAGTATTCCATTGTGTGGATTTACCACAATGCATCCATTTACCCACTGAAGAATACTTGGTTGTCCCCAGTTTTTCGTGATTACAAATAATGCTATAAAATATGCAGGTGCAGGTTTTTGTGTGAACATAAGTTTTTATTTCTCTAGGATAAGTATTTATAAGTGGTATTGCTGGGTCATACGGGAAGAGCAACTTTTTAAGACACTAATACATCGTTTTCAGAGTGTCGTTACCATTTTGCATTTCCTATTAGTAATATATGAGAGTTTCAGTTGCTCTACATCTTTGCCGCCACTTGGCATTGTCACATACTTGGAGTTTTGAAAAGCCCAATATTATAAACTGATGAATGTCTCAAATGTTAGAATATCCCAGATGAATGCTGGAGACAAGTTTGAGGCCTGTGCTTTTTCCCATTGCATCGTTGCATAGTACTCGTGAGGCAGGGCATGGCAACCCTTGCTTTATTGCTGGGCCAGAGTTTGAGTGAATAAATTAAAGCACTACCTGAAAAGAAAAGTTAGTATCTGAGATGCAGAGGGCTCTATCTGATACTGGGGAAAGAGGGAGTGAGGATACATGCATGTTCACATACATTATCAGAAAATACATAGGAGTTGTAGGAATCATGTTTATAGAATGGAGTTGATTTATAATGACACTGTGACGCTCTAACATTCTCTCTGTGGTGCCTGGATGTCTGGCTTTGATTCTTGGTTGAGAAAAGAGCAGTGAGATCTATGGGGCACCATTTAAAGTCTGATACTCCCCTGGAGATTCCCAGAGCCCATTTGTCTTTTGATGGATTTAACTCACATAACCAGTTAGACAGCCTGGCTTGACTACCCAACCAGTGAACAGAGAGGCATAAAAAGCCCTGGAGAGAATTTCTGCCTTGAGCTCTCCCAAAGTCAAGTTTCATATAGAGCTTTGTGGTTTAATCCAGAGACAATGGGCAGTCTCTGTGTGAATAAGGGCATGAGGATAGGCACCTAGATGGTTCTCAGATCCCCAATGCTTTCTCTTCTTGAGCCACAGCCTTTGCTTTTAAATAAAGGCATTTCCTGGGTATGCTTTGCAGAGACTTGTTAGTCCTTTGAACTGATGAAATCTCAGTAGATGTCTTATGGCCTTGCAGTTAGGTTTAAAAAATATAAATCTGCAAAATGATTCCTATTTTGTTGTATATATTTAGAAATAAGTTGTCTTAGATCCTAAACTTGTTTGCTCCTCAGGGCTGCCAAGCTTCACTGAGCAACACATCAGTTAGGTGAAAAGTACTCATTTCATATAGTCATGTGCCACGTAACACTTCAGTCAATGATGAACCACATATATGATGGCGGTCCCATAGATCGTAATATTGTATTTTTACTGTACCTTTTCTATGCTTAGATATGTTTACCTATAAAAATACTTACCATTGTGCTACAATTGCCTACGTATTCAGTATAGTAATAGGCTGTGTAGGTTTGAGCCTAGGGATAATAAATAGGCTAGACCATATAGCCTAGGTGTATAGTAGGCTATACCATCTAGGTTTGTGTAAGTACTCTCTGATGTTTGCACTATGATGACATTGCCTAAGGATGAACTTCTCAGAAAGTATCCTTGTTGTTAGTCTGACTGTTTATCAATTCACAAAGTAAAAAATTCCTAAAAATTAATGTAAAGAAAGTTCCCAACTTCTTCAAAGTCAATCTTCAAGCAGGATTCTGGAATATAGCCCAATGCTGTTTCATGAAAAAATATAAATTACTGGCCCAAATATTCCTAGGGAGAAACAGCTTATGTGTAAACAGCTTTAGAAAACAAAAATCCATTTAGACTTTCTTTAAAGCATTCAAAAGTAGCCCCTATAAGGACATGTACTTATCTCCATTGGATTCCATATCTTGATTTCTCTCTGCCCCTTAGTTCATGAAACTTCATGAGAAATGACTCTGTATAGCAGGAATCCCCAACCCCCAGGTCAAGGACCAGACTGGTACCAGCTTGGGGGTTGAGGATCCCTGTGTGGCCTCACAGCAGGAGGTGAGTGGCAGGTGAGCAAATGAAGCTTCATCTCTATTTATAGTTGCTCCCCATTGCTGGCATTACCACCTGAGCTCCACCTCCTGCCAGATCAGCGGCAGCATTAGATTCTCATTGGAGCTCAAATCCTATTGTGAACTGCACACGTGGTGGATCTAGGTTGTACAGTTTTTATGAGACTCTAATGCCTGATGATCTGAGATGGAGCTGAAGCGGTGATGCTATGCTAGCACTGGGAGTGGCTGCAAATACAGATTAACATTAGCAGTGAGGTTTGACTGCACAGAGACCATAATAAGTCAATTCGCTTGCAGGCTCATATCAAAGCCCTATCAGTGAGTGGCAAGTAAGTCGATGTATTTCAATTGTATAGCAACTCAGTTGAGGAATCCATCTATTTATCTTTCTGGTGGCAGGCTTTAAATCACAATGTGACACTTATTTATTCTGCATGTGGCCTGCCCACTTTAATTCCAACTTCTGTCCATGCTTCTTCTTAAATGGTGAGTTGCATAATTATTTCATTATATATTACAATAATATATTATATTATATATTGTAATAATACATTATATCTTGTAACAAGAATAGAAATAAAGTGCACAATAAATGCTATATGCTTGAATCATCCCAAAACCATCTCCCTGACCCCTACCCTGGTCTGTAGAAAAATTGTCTTCCACAAAACTGGTCCCTGATGCCAAAAAGGTTAGGGACTATTGCTGTACAGGATCTTTTGAAGGTAGACTTTCTTCCTTCTGCATTATCTATAGCTGATCTTTTGGGACTATTTTCATTTTTTGCAAAATTTAGAAGTATGCATTTGCACAGGTAAGCTAACCAAGTTGATAGATATAATGTACTGTCAGAAAATGAGAAAGATAAATAGATGGATTCCTTAATTGAGTTGTTGTTAAGGTGTGTAATTTTAAGCCATAAATATAGCCAAATCTTCAACTATATTTCAAGGCCAGTTTTTGTTCATGCCCAAATCACCTAGTAATCATACCATTGCTCAGTGGCTCTGGAATTCAAATATTTATACTTTTATTTTTTGTAATATAAATGGATGCCAACAAATTATTTTTCCTTTTTTAAAAAAATCAAATTTAATTTAAAAAGTAACCATTTTGTAAGTCAGGTATTTGGGAAGACCTCAGATGGGCAGTTCTTGCTTGGTGTCTCTTATGTGATTCCAGTTGGATGTCAGCAGGGGCTACAGTCACCTCAAGATGACTGAATGTCCACAATGGCTCAGGTACATGGCTGGCAGCTGATGCTAGCTGATGGCTGGGAGCTCAGCTGTGGCTATTAACCAGGATGTCTACACTTAGGCTTCCTAGCATTATAGTCTCAGTATGGTTGGACTTTTTTCATGGAAGCTAGATTTCCTGAGTTAAAAGTTCCAAGCCTCATCTGTTTCTTTTTAAAATTTCCTTTCTTTTGTTATAAATTCTTTGATATTGTTGTATAAGGAGTGAGCTATGGGTAAAGATATTCTTACAATAATTTCATTTAAAGAGTTCACATCCAATATGAATTATCTGGTAGTTGTGTAAGATTTGAACTATGGCTATAAGCTTTTCCATATTTATTATCTGTAAATGACCACAGGTAAAGTTTCCCTACTCCTCAACTTCAATCATACCCATAGCATTTTTTTCCACTTAGAATGCTCTGATATTGAGTAAGATAAATGCTGGATACCTCCCTTTCTTTAGTATGATTTTAAAATTTCAAATAAGGTATTAACTGTGGCTACAGGCACTCTCACATTACATTTATTACATTTGTCTGATAATGTGTTACAATTTGGGTTGTGGGGAAAAATTTTTCTATTTGCATTACATTAACATTCCCAGTTTTTCATAACAACATTGATACAGTTTCCTTCTACCATGAATTCTCTTATTTGCATCATGACCATATTAGCACAATTCATAGTTGTTTCCCTTCAGAGTATATTAGCTCCTGCTGTGAAAGTTCTGAGTTGGTTGGCAGTATTTACCAAAGTTGATTGAATATACATATGCTTAAGACTCAGCAATTAATTCCCAAGTATATAAACAAAAGAAATGCATATGTGTATACCAAAAACCAAATATGCTCTCCAAAACATTATTTATTATGATTCTAAGCTGTAAGCAATGTAAAGGTCCATCAATAGTAGAAATGGATACATCATGATATAATCTTATAATGAACTTCTACATAGAATAAAAATAAATAAACTTCTGCCACATGCACTAATGATTGGACTTACAGACAATAATGAATGAATTAAGCCATATAGGAGAGAATACACAATATATAATCCAATTATATAAAGGTTTATAATATATAAAAATGAATTTATGTTAGAAGTCAGAACTGTGGTTAACTTTTGAGGAGGTAACAACTTATTTTTACTTCATATTTGCAATGAGAAATACGGTTCATACCGCCTTTCTTTTAAAAACTTCTACTCACAGTGTAGTCCATGGACCACTGCCAGTTGGCCAACTGTTCACAAAAGGATATGTACTGAATAGAAAATAAGTGATTTTAAATGTTTATAGCAATTTGACAAAGGAACATTTGTCTGATGAATATAGTAATAAAAAATTTAGGCTTTTATTTTCAATAATTTTTGTCATTTAATTTGTCTAGTAATATTTTTTATGTGTTTCACAGGCTAGCAAATAATAAGTTAATATGTGGGACAGTTCCTTAAATTGTCGGATATTATTACACTTGCAAGCAACATCACGTACAGGGTTTACTAGGACTTAAATGTCTTTAATAAGCCACATCATTTACTAAATTCCCACGGTTTCTACCTTGTGAGTTTTCTGATGGACAATGAGGTTTGATTTACAACTGAAGAACTTCCCACATTCTTTACATTCATATGGTTTTTCTCCTGTGTGAGTTTTCTGATGGCGAATGAGGTTTGATTTCCTACTAAAGGCTTTCCCACACTGAGGGCATCCATTAGATTTCTCTCCTGTATGTATTCTGTGATGAACAGTGAGGATTGCTTTCTGGCGGAAGGACTTCCCACATTCATTACAGATATAGGGTTTTTCCCCTGTATGAATTCTCTGATGGAGAGTGAGAGTTGTCTTTTGGCAGAAGGATTTCCCACATTCATTACAAATATAGGGTTTCTCTCCGGTGTGAGTCCTCTGATGTACGGTGAGGGTTGTCTTTTGGATAAATGCCTTCCCACACTCATTACATTGATATGGTTTCTCTCCTGTATGAGTCCTTTGGTGATCAATAAGGTATGACTTCTTTCTAAAGGCACTTCCACATTGAGTACATTCATAGGCTTTCTCCCCTGTATGTGTTTTGTGATGTCTAGTGAGGGTTGCCTTCTGGCGGAAGGACTTCCCACAGTCAATACAAATAAAGGGTTTTCCCTCTATGTGTGTTTTTTCGTGAAGAGTGAGGGCTGTCTTTTGACGGAAGGCCTTTCCACACTGATTGCAAACATAAGGTTTCTCACCTGTGTGAATTCGCTGATGTTCAATGAGGTATGACTTCCTTCTAAAGCGATTTCCACAGTAAGAACAGTGAAAGGGTTTCTCTTCTGTTTGAGGTCTCTGATGCATAATAAAAAGAGACTTTCTGCAGAGAAATTTCCCATATTTGTTGTATACAGAGGGCTTTTTTTCTGTAAGATTATGTGGATGGACACCGAGATTTGACTTTTCTATAAAGGCAATTCCATCTTTATTGTATTCAAAGGTTCTTTCTCCTCTGTGAGCTCTAGTGTGTGTAAATAATATTCCTTTCATAAGGAAGGGTTTTTCACATTCATTATGCTCAAATGGTTGCTCTGAAGTTTGAACTTTCTGATGCTGAATAAACTCCTGTCTACTGCTGAGATCCCTTTCTGTTTGTTTATGGAAATTCACTGCAGGATGTATTTTCTCATGCTTAGTAGTGAGGAGTGATTTCTCCCATCCATTACTCTCACCAAACTTCTCTTTTACAGGGCTTATATTTCTAACGATTAATTCGGAAATATTTTTTAAAACCTTTCTGTCAGGTTTATATTCACAGAGTGTTGTTTTTGAAATAATACGGTTCTTGCTTATAGTCAGTGTTTTACCATAAACATTACTTCTCTCCTTAATTAGTTTTTTGTGGTTGATGAATATGACTGATCTAGAATGCCTGTCTTGATATTCTCTGACCTTCACTAAAACATCTTCAGCTTTCCCATCTTCTTCTAGAAAAAAATACAATTAACACTGTAAGTCTTCACATACATATTATGGATTGGATGCATATATAAACAGTCTATGGTGGGACTACCTTGCTATTGTGGTCTACAAAATAGCCAGAACACATCACCTCTTGGGAGGGAAAACATACAAACATAAACACAAATCTTGCTAGACTGTTAAAATGAAGAAAAATTGGAATTAAGCAAAGAATGCAGATCTTTGGCATGTTATAAGCTGGAGTGAGATGGTATAATAAACACAAGGATAAGTGAGCAGTAAGACAAAGAATGATTAAATGGGAATTGTTCTTGGAACAGGAAGATTCAGAGGTAATAAAGTGAGCCGACCTTACTAAACAGTAAGAAATGTGACAAAATTATTTAGGAAGAGATGGAAAACCATACATTTATCCCCTTATGACTAAATAAATGTTGTGAAATACTTCCATTCCTTTCTTGCTCACTTCCATTTAGCCCATCCATGGCAAAATAACTTTCTTAAGCTCATTTCTTAGTGTTTACTGAAGCACTAGTATATAGTCTAGGCTCTAATTGTTCATATAACTGTGACTTATTTTCTCTCAAAAGCAGAGAATCAAGAAAACATATTCCCATTAGGAATTTTAAAATAAACCAGAATACAAAAATATTTCCAACATGAATATAATCGCTGCTGCATTCTGATTGATGTTACCATCAATTGACTCTTCCAGAGATGGTCAATATGAAATGCTCCTGACCATTAATTCTAACTTTTCCATCTTTCAATTTTCAGTTTTAGGGAAACAAATGTTCAAATTTCCCTCCCAAAGCAGTAACATACCTTAACTTTGCTATTCCCTTTAAGGTCTATAAAAGACTGGATTATTTTTATTACTTTTTAAAAAAAAAACAAAACCCTAGCCGGGCTCGGTGGCTCAGCCTGTAATCCCGCGCCTTTGGGAGGCTGAGGTGAGTGGATTGCCTAAGCCCACGGGTTCGAG